TTTCACAGAATGCAGCTTCCATTAAGAGAAGATTATAGTGAGAATCAAGGCCTCTGTTTCATACCCACTTGGACGCTTATGGAATACTAGGATTTAAGCACAAGCCCAATATATTTGGATGTTTAAACAACATGGATATGCAGCAGTMCTATTAAGGCCTATAGCAGTTGAGAAGCTGATTAAGTTGTCCACACAGTCATCACCTTGATCCCTGGCTCTCTAGATCTGAACTTATTACATGYTGTTCCCTTTTAAAGGCCTCTCTTCCCACCAATGTTAATAATGAAAAAAGACATTATTTTCTGTGCTACTGAAAGCCAGTAGGGTCAAAAGGAACTCAGATCATTATGGAGAATTTCTCATCCTTAAAAACTCTCATTTTTTTGAAGCTACAGCACCCCAAGGGTAATGCCTTAGCCCACAGAACTTCATCCCCCACATGCAAAAAGTTCTACCTATGTTATGTCACTTTTTGGTATAAAACTACTGTATCCTTCACCAAGTCTCCCTGCTGTATTATATACGGCTCCTTCTTTTCCAAGGCCATGGAAGAAATAATTTCTGAAGGTCTGCCAGGCTTCATCCCATTGGTGCTTTATCTCAAACGGAGATGAGGTAAATTTGTTCTGTCTCTCAACAGTCTACAACAGAGAGCAAGGAATAATATCCTTGGGACAGTCTGAATCCAGCCTGACCCCTATACATATACTTTGCCCCAATTAGTTCACCTCATCTTGAGCAACTACTGAGATTATAAATGCCAATGCAACTTCAAACACCTGTCAGGTACCGGGGCCAGGAAGGATCATTTAGCATCTCAAACAGCCAAGAATCAGCAAGAAAAACAGGATAATTGGAAAGCCCAGACACACACTGTGTGTATACATTAGAGTGCAGATCAGCAGTTGTTGAAGCTTTCATTTCATAATTTTGTAGGGATGTCAAGAGAGCTTTTGTGGGCAAGGACAGAGGCAGAGGATTGGAAAGAAGGACCCTGGCTGAGAAAAGTCTTTTTTAAATAGCTTCTAAAATTGCCTTGCTATTATACTGGCAGGTTTTTGTTCAAATGCTAGTAACTAAAATGTGCTGCATTCTATTACAAAGAAAGCAGAGGATAATAATTCGGGGCTTTGTGAAATTTAGGTGCACGCTTAAGCAGTTGTGGCCTTCTTGATAATTTTAGTGATGTATTTTTGCTGTCAAAATTCTAAATAGCCCCGTTCCTCCCTTCATTGCCAGTGGTGAATTTCAAGTATTGATAGGCAAAGAAAGATAGAGCTTAATCTTCACCATTCTCTTCATACTGAAGGCTCTCTTGGGTCCACTACAGAAAGAAGGTAGTTGCGTTAGTATCAGCATAATTTTGTTAAGGGTTCCAGGTACCACTGCTGACATTTAGAAAATTCACAGCTTGATGAGGGTTTTTTTCACACTTATATTTGTCCAGTTAAAGTAGCTTCCATTTAAAAAAAGGTAGTAGACAAAAATGTGTATGTACATAATATGTACATTCATATATTTTTATTCAATGTATCTTGAATGGATTGAATTAATACATGCAAAAGTAATATTTATATCCCTCTTTTTGATAGTCTCAGCTTTTGTTTGAATTCTGTTTCAAAGTGAGCTAATGTACACGTTTTAAAAGATTTTTTTTGATATTATCAGGCCACAGAGAAATGTCACTRATAAAGTTTTGAAAAGCAAACACGTTGGACTTCTGCAAACTGCAGCCAAGTGCTAGTGCCAAATGCAAGTCCAAACACTCTTGACTTCCACATTTCCTAAGATGCCCCCACTTCTAAGGAACATTTACAGCAAGTTTTGTAAGCTACACAATTTATAACTGGAAGAGCATCCCACATTAATCAGTGAAGTCCATGACACTTTGGGTTGTGGTATGTTAGGTCACATTACAGGCTGCCCAAGGAGGTTGTAGAGTCTCCTTCTCTGGAGATCTTCCAGACCTGCCTGGATGCTTCCCTGTGCCCCGTGCTCTGGGTGTCCCTGCTGGAGCAGGGGGTTGGACTATGTGATTTCTAGAGGTCCCTTCCAACCTCAACCATTCTGTGGTTCTGTGATTCACAGTCAGACTCACAGACCAAATGGAAAACTCCTGAACACTTCAGGTGTGCTCACCCCTTCCAAACTCAGATCTTTTTGCAGACTTACTCTTATGTTTAACCCTGCAATATTTTTACTTTTATTTTATTTCTTCAACTATATTTGCTGTTAGGGTACTTTTGACAGATAGAATACATACAGAAAAATACATACAAGTAGACAACTTACCCCCACACACAACATCTAAACATATTTAGCCCAGCATATTCACATCTGGTAAACTGCCAAGCTGTTCCAGTGGAGTTATGTCTTTTTAAAAAAATAATAAAAACAAAAAGCAAGCAGCTTCAGGAAACGCTCCCTAACTGGGCTGCAGGGATCCAGCCCAGTGCAGCATCTGTTATCTGATCCCTGGCCCACTGGGCACTCCAGGTGCTGAGAGAGGGATTTTGTGACCTGCTCCCGAGCATTAGCGGATAATCCTTCAGGARGGGGCAAGTGGCACTCGTATCTGCTGCTGGTAGCACTTATTGAGGATTGCAGCAAAGGCACTCACTCCTCGCTTGCATATCTGTATGGTTAGACCAGCTGTTGGGGCTGTCATCCTACTTCCTGATACATTTGATACGCTATCCTCATCATTGCCCTCTTGCTATGCTGTTTACAGAGTTTTCCTGTTGTTTTCTCTAGTGGAAATCTGTATGTGTATATTTCTTTTGTACCCTCTCATGCCTAGTGAAAGGCTGAGTACTTAGTTCACCAGCAAACTAAGTAATGGGTTTTAGTGTTGTTGTTCAGGAATGACTTTTGTAAAAAAAATCTGATAAGGTAGGAATGAGATAGAGTACCCAAACAATACTTGGAAATAAGAAAGAAACTAGAGTATAGCTACGCCTACTTGGCAAATCCCACTCTATATGGCAAATGTTAAAATAAATCAAGAAGAATACATAGAGAACAGTATATATCCTGCTTTGGTAGTTATTGAATACTTTCCGCCACACAGAATTTCATGAAGGTGACTGAAATTTCCTTGCTCCCTATTTTCCTCCTTAAATATAAATCCCTCTGTCTGCACACTGAAATAGTGGTCTATTGTGAGATGCGCTGAAATTCTGTAGTGGATTCAACGCATACTGGAAAAGCAGAAAGCTCCTGCTATCTTTGTGAGCTAGTTGAAAAGTGAAAACAGATTAGAGAAATAAGTTCTTCAATAGGCAGCAACATTGCCTTCACACCATATTTGATGAGTAAGTCCTCCCAGCGGCACCAACACCTGATACGCACATTGCATGGATTAGCAAGTTTTAGTCCAGGCAGAAGAAAAAACAGTTTTTTTTTTTTTTTTTTTTTTTTTTTCCTTGAAATAACTGCTGCAGGTATATTATCTAATGAAAACACAACAAGATTTCTCTAAGGAATGTGAAATTCGTTTGGTGTTTCCATCAAACAATTATACGTTGTTCAGCCACTATCTCAGAAGCACTGAGGCATATCCAGGCCTGATTACATTTCTTCTTAGCTCCCGATCAGAATATGCCACTAGGGTAGCAAGCAGTTTCTCATCTCTGCCATACCACATCCTTGATGTGGGCATACACAAGAGAGGGATTTCTAATAACAATGCACCCACATTTGCCTAATATCTTGATGATCCTAAAACAAAATGTCTTTGATCATTAATGGAGCCTTTCGGAACATTTCAAACTGAAGGATAAATTTCCAAAGACATTGAACAGGGATTTGCTGACTGTCTTCTGTTAACACCAGCAGGAGGCAAACAGCTGAATTCCCATTCTCAGCTTTGAAATGCATTCCTTCAAATACTATATATCCAAAAGGCACCAGACTTTTCAATAACAAGCTTCCAAGAACAACAGTGTCACCTCCACTGATGCTATCTGATAGTTAATGCTTCTTCCCCAAAATTTTAGGCCTGCAGAAAACAGTGCAGCTCAAAGATATTTTCTGCAGGACAGGAACACTGGGCCGTACTGGGGTTGCGTCCCTGGACTTGCTGAGCAAACATCCTCATAAACGTCTGGCTCTACCTCTACATCCAGCACGGACACAACACAAAGGGAAAAGCTGTCCAGCAATAAACATCCATTCTGCAAACTAGTGCTAGCCTGCTGAAAGCTGAAACTGATTATTAGCAGGAGAAACATCAAAAAAATCCATCAGTCCTGCACAAAGACACCTCACCACCAAAGGAGCATGGAAGCAGGAAAAGATTAGAGTCATATTGTGACACAGATGTTAAACTGCATCTGACGGACGCAATGGAAGTTAACATCCAATCTATTCATTGTAAATATGGAAGGAAGCAAGGACGTCTCCCAATTGTCTGCCAATTCTTCTCACGTCTCTCTAAGTAAGTTCACAGTGTGTTCCTCAACAATCCTGGAAAACATGGCAGTTTATGCAAGTGCATAAGGGAAATCAAAATCTCAATTGCTTTTCGGAAATGCAATAAACTACACATTCTTCTCCCTGATGGTTTTTATCATTAATAATGTAATCTTACAAACTAAACATCAGAAGGTGTAAACAAGTTGTTAGAACAGATTCTTGAGAGCTATTCTTCCCATTACAGCAGAATTTTTCAATTCAGCGAGGAATTTTTACAAGTTATCTCTACGAGACAGATAAGGATATATGGAATTCCCACTCTCATCTCCTTTATTAAATACATATTTCTTATTTAATTAAAAGACTTTGTAAGATTAGTTTTGATTCATTTGGTCAAATGGCAGAGACTAATTAGAACAACCAAGGTTTGGAAGCCCATTAGAAAATAATCATTCTCAGCAGTGAAAGCAGCAAACATGAACTGAATATTAAGGCATTATCTCCTCTAAAGGTCAAAAGAAATATTTCAAAAGGTTCCATCTGTTTAATTTTCCAAAAGACAGAAATATCTGAGAAGTACTTACTACAATGTCTTCAGGAAAAGTATCCCGACTGAAAGAGCCATCATCAAACATAACTTCATAGAAGACTTGAGAGGTGACTCCTATGACTCTGCAACTGTAATATCGTGTGTTCCTGTGTTTTGTGATGACTGTCTGCCCAATTGAAATGGCCTTCTCACATGCCTTAGTTCTCTTGAAAAAAGAAGAATTTAAAAGAACAATTTAATAATACTAGGCTGCTTAATAGAAATGTGTCACTGCCAAAACAGAACTAATGAGAATTCTTCCCTTAATATAAAAATTTCAAATGCAAAATTATTCATTATAAAAATAATCACATGAGTTTGTATGTCACACAGGGCCTTTGAATTTCATAAGAAAAAAACACATCTACAGAATAAGAAATTACAACATTCAAAAATATTTCTGTAACTGATGCCTTCTAATTTTTGTAGTAGGGCAAGAATACTTAAACAGCTAGCAATATTTTTACATCTTATTCATTGTGCTGGARGATAAAATATGGCAAAACTAGACAATGATATGAAACCATTTTAAAAGGTCTATTTTTAAATACTATATTTTTGTATAATTCTTCATATTGCTAAATATTTTGCTMAATTGCTAAATATTCTGGTGGGTGGGATGAAATAATTAAATGTACATTCAATTTTTSTCAGAACTGCCCACATTAGTGTACCCAAATAACTTATTTACCAATACTGTGCAGAAAATTTGTTTTCAGACTTCAGACAGCACTGATCACTTCAGCATTTATGTAACACATCAGTAACAATAATTTTCAGTTTTCTTTTTGACTACACTAGAGCTAGTTAAGTCAGTCAGAAGTGTAGCAGAGTTTTCAAACTGTGCAAAAATCCTACGCCRATATCTGCTTAAGAGTTTCTATCTATCGAAAACAGAACTGAACCTCGTAAGTCAACAACTGCTGAGCTCACATGCTGCAGACAGAGGTACACATCAGCTCCCAGCCCATGGATCCCCATGAACCTCCCACTTAAAAGGCAAGCTTTTGCACTAGGAAAAATAAACAAGAAGCTTCTTATCCTCATAAAACAAGGAAAGGACTTCTCTCCTACGAGCATGACTGCCTGTTCACAACTTCACACAAGTCTGTTTGCTTATATAGAAGTTGTTGTGTCTGTGGTTATGGCTGGACATTTGAAAGTTTCCAACCGTGGAAGACGGTAAGACAACAGGCAGTTGCAATGGTATGCCTTTATTAAAATATTTTTTCTTAGAAATATTTGTGTAAAAGGCATGAAAATACTTGATGGCATACACTAAATAGTTATGCAGTTTTCCACCACTGCCTTGTCAGTCTTTCAAGGCAGTGAAGTCTTCTATCAGCATAATAATCTAAAAAAAAAGGCCRGGGATATCTGGAAAGTTACAGAATTTTTACCATTACTATCAAAGGAAAAGCAAAGGTAGCCTCAACTCTTTTTGTTAGACTCCCAAAAAGTTAATGGTGATTTTAATCCTTTTGAGACAAAAAGACTAAATGAATATTCATACTTGCTTCAGGTCATCTCAGATAATAAAACTCCATTATGTTTCTAAAGCATTTCCAAGTTCACCTAGAAACAATGTTATGATCCTACTAACAAACTCTTCAACCATTTACCTGCAAGATAAAATTGTTTATGTAGCTCGTTAATTAATTCTGCCATTTAGTCTGACTATAGAGATGTAAGAGCAGGAAAAAACAGCTGACAGGATTGACTGTATTGCTATGTCAACTAGCATTTTTTATCTAATCTTGAAATAGATTAACAGTCCATTCTCTTCTTCAGTCATCAGTTATTTGGGAAAAATGATTWAAAAAAAAATACACACGTAAACTAGAGAGTACTAACTTAATTACTTGCATGAGATAATAAAGTCTGTGATAATAGTACAAGTAGAACTGTCTGAATTTTTTTTTAAATATTTAAGTCTGAAGAAGATTCTCTATATAAGCAAAATATAGTATTTTAATAGATGACACAGGATCATTTAATGATAAAATATTCAGAAAAGAAATGCCATAGCTCATCAAAACAAATAATAAAAATCAGAAATGCATCCTAGTTCAAGGAGAAGGTGCTTATTTTTCAGTATGCTATCTTGGTAGGATTCTTGATTTATTTCACAGAAAAATATTGACAAGTACACTCTATAACTGATTGCATGTCCCAGAAAACATTTCCTGTCAGAAAATCCTAAGAATTTATTGATGTTAAGAATGTCATTTTTGATCAGAAAGGACAGTTGTTATGCAAGTGAATCTATCAGATTAAAGAAGCAGCTGTGGTAGTTACCAGATTATTGAGGAAACCGTGGTTTAAAAAGCATGATTTTCTTTAACAGTACCTAAGTCAAGGATGAACTAAGATAGCAGCAGAAATGCAGAAAAAAAAAAGACAGAGAGGAAAAAAAGTTAACCTCTTCTATGTCCATACTTTGAAAAGATAGGAGGCCAAATTATTTTCTCCCTCATTTTCTGTTTGGCAGAACATACCGAAATGTATTTAGATAAAATRCATAATATAATATGTGCTTTATGTATAAAATATACATATATAARAAAGAGATAAATATCTTGAAGAAAAATATAATAATATCTTGAAACATTTCCAGACTAAAATTTTTGATAGAAGATCCTCAAAATTCTGAGATTGATTTGATATGGAAACCTAAGTCTCATTTAATATTTTTAAGATTGCTCCCTAGAACTGCAATTTAGGCATGGAAATCATACATGGCATTTTCAAATATGGCAGTTAATGATTTCTGAACACATGTTCAACGGGACATGCCTGCAAGACTTTCCAAAAAAAGGGGCTGGCAATGGGTACCAGATGTGTATAGTGACAGTACATCACTCCCGTATCCAAGAGAAAAAGTACCTATAGCTTCCACATGAGAGCATCCCTTCATTCCCTATATGCCACGGAGSAAAGAACTGTCCCATAGGTGCTGTAGACCATAAGGGAAATCAAAACCCAGYTGACCACTTACAATTTGCATCAGTTCCTATCCTAACTGCCTCTTCTTCARACAGTAAGTTTTGCTAAATGCCTATCATGGGGCTGCCAGGATGACCTTTCCTGATCACCATTTTGAAATGAAACCTCACCAAAGAATTTGCTTGCCTCCAGCAACTTACTCTGACACAGTGCTGGCTTTGCTAATCTTATGACACTGATTCCTCTTAACTTGTTGCATAAAACTGCTCTTTTTCTCATTTCTTTGTGTATGAGAGAGATTTTTACTATCAAAATGAAACCCTCCTGGAGCACCTCAATTCATCAATAGTTCTAGCTGTTCTAGCAATCTGACAACAAAAAGATCTCAGGATATTTTTCATGACCAGGGAGTAACACAGTGGAAGCGAAAAAATGAAAAAACCTTKATCACTATAAGATCACTATAAGGAAGCACAGCACCTTCCTTCSCTAATAACACTATAATTTACATAAATAAAATAAATGAGAATATGTTATATGTAAGAAATAAGTAAAATCATTCTGAATAAAAATTTTATGCAAGTAAAATTTTGCATTATTTCTAGATCTGTATATGGTAAATACAAGACTTAAGATTTGAGTATGGACATCAAAAGTGCCTACTTTGAAGTCATTTCAATATTTAAAACTTCTAGTTCATAATATTTGTATATTTACTTTATTCTTCAGTATGGTGTGGATGCAGGGATTATCAATGTCTTCTGCTTTTCTTTATGATAATTTATCATCAGAAGGCCTACTGATACTGCCATGGTTGACATTAAAAACGTACTTTGGAAAGAAATAATGAAGCCAATGCAGAAAGAATTGGACCCTCAGTCAAAAAGATGTGTGACAGAATATTGATAAATACTCTCAACACAATTTTCTTGAGATCACAGCAACCAATTATTTGGGGRAAAAAAAACACCAGTAATAATACAAAATTATCAGTACATAGATTTTGGTTGAAGAATCTGCTAGCTTTACATATTACAATACTACTGTAGATATCTGTAACCACYAGGAAGCTATCCTTAGTTTGAGGAAACTTGAGGAACTTAAAGATATTCACTAAGAGAATGAAGGCTAAATTAAGAAAACATACTACATACAGAAAACTATAATTTTGCTTCCTTGAAAGGAAGAAAAAATGGTAATATCCTTACTTTATGTATAACATTTTGAACCAGAACATATTTGTTCGTGCTGACAAGGCTAACTCTTTGATTCTTGTAAAAATCTGCAAAATCAGTATAATACTTCTATCCCTAGAATTACATTGTTCTGTTTTTGAGAAAGAAATTTAAAACAAAGAACAAACAAAAAAGTTTTGTGTGTGAAGCACTGCTCTGCTTAGTGGTGAACAGCAATGAGGTTTCTGCATCAAAAAACTAGCTAATAGCCAGCATGAATAAGAAAAGAATAACATAGTATAACAAGAAAAGCTACTTGGAGTACACTTCCAAAAGCTAAGGATCTTATTAGATTCACTGACCAAAAGAGAAAGTATGAATACAACCCAATCATATATAAATATATGACAATCATCTCCTTTGTTTCAGGATTAAGAATTTCACAGAAAAAGTTTCTTCAACAGCATGTCTGAGCTTTCCAAGTTTTGTTCCACTGAMAAAACATACACTTTCTCTTCTGTAATTTCGACTTTAATTTGAGCCACATGAAGTAAGTGAATCAAACAACTTTTTCTTGGCACCAGAAGGTTGGTGCCAACTTCCCAGAAAAGCCTCGATACAGTCTCCTTCTAATCTGAGCTAAATTGTTCACGCTTCACACAATCACTTCATAAGCAATTATATAAAACTTTTTCTCCATATTTTTTTTTCTCATTAAGAATGCAAAATTCAGATCAGAATCACTGGGAGAATAAGAAAACTTAATGGGAGTTCCATTCAGCTTATTAGTGTTATGTTGTTCCAGATGAACATTCGTTTCTTAGCATCCAAAATAATAACTATTTAATAATTTTACAGTATTCTAGGGAAAATGTATAGGTTAGTATTAAGTTAAGTAGTAAAGTTAGCACTTTTTAAACTTAGATTGGAAGATTAAAATCTGCTATAAAAATAGCTCTTGCAATATTTTGTACGCATTATTAATAATAACTAACGTTTAGTCAGAAAGGTCAGKAAGACCTTTAGGACAAAGGCGCCACTACAAGAGCCAATCCATAACTTCATCTCATTAACCACCTTGCATCACAGAAGAAAATTCAGTGAAATAAATATTTTTTGTGACTGCATATGAGAGACCTGAAACACAGATGTCTTTTAAAAGTAGATCACAGGATTAAGGAGCTGTGGCAGGAATGCATAAAGTTGATATAGAAAACAATATATCACAGAAAGTCCTATTTCATTCAAGAAGAGTTTCCCTGGCAAATGATTAAAATCTCACTACTTGAAGTACAGCAACTTATCTGGAAGAAATGTTAGAACATATTTGGTCAGAATAGTCCTGTCCCTACTGGCAAAGAACCAGACTCGGTAATTTAAGATACTGGGTAATGCTTTCTAAAAAAGCCATAAAAATTYTCTGAAAAATTATCTGTACAGAGATTGTTTCAAAGTTGTTTTGAAACTTAACTTGTTCTCATAAAAGAATGTATGAAGACTGTAAATTCCTACAAAAATATACTGGTATCATACAATTATTAATTTTGGAAAGTAAAAATTCTTAAAAAGCAGAACTGTTCTGGGGAAGTTTTGAAAAGAACATACAATTTATCTGCCTTGTGTTTTTYAGAAGTACTAACTGATTGAACACTCAGGGCTAACTGATTACTCTAGTTGCAAGGCATTACATTTTATCATACTCAGAAGAAAATCTTAGTCTTTAATATTCTTGACCAAGACCAAGAATTTAATGACAACCTCTTGAGAGAAAGACATACATTATACAGAGTTTCATTAGCACATTTACATGGGTTTACTCTTTCACTTTTTCATGTACAAAGGAGATAAAAAAAATCAAATATGGAGTTCTCAACTTGAAAAGGTAAGAAACCATTCYCTAAAGTTCTAAAGTTCTCTTAAAAGCAACTTCCTTGTTAAGACTATATTAAGCAGTAGTCATTCCAGTTGTATACTGCTGAGAAACAACTAAAATATATAATTTTAAAACTCCAAGAAAATGGCAAAAATTATTTCGTAACTGCGGTAACAATCTGGTGGAGTAAAAGACATTAAAACCTGAAAGACAATGGTAAATAATTTTGTATGTGTCCCTTCTAAAATTAAATGTTCCTCCACAGCACAAACTGGAAAATATGAGGACACAATAATATGGGGAATTTTCATGACATACTCATGTTAGTTTACCAGATGATAGTAAAACTATAGAGATACAACAGCACATAAGCCTTTCATATAACACCATATCATCTATCTCACCATATCTGAGGGTATTGGCAAGACCTCTGAGCTRGGATTTCTAATATACTCCAAGTTAACACAATAGAGAATTCAATGACCAGTTATGGCAGCCTAAACAGTACATTCAGGATTGACTCTAATAAAAAAATGTGCTAAACATATCAGGTACATTTCTGCCAGGTAAGGGGATAATCAAAAATCTTTGAGATACAATAGTTTTGCTCTGTATGAAAATATGATAGATGAAGCTATTATTATACGTGATGTGATTCCCTTTTCCCACTTTCTCTAGAAGCATACTTTAATTCTACAATTCCATTTTCCAATCAATAAGGAAACAAATTTCTTACCACATTTTGGTTGATCTTGTGCCTGAAACACGTGATATAGACAACATATGGCCAGTCATCGGGTTCCATAAGCACTCCTGCAGCATGGGCACAGGTAACATGGAAGGAGGCAGGACAGCGTCCATATGAACACTGAATGCAAGCCCCAGAAATTTTTTTAATTCTCTGTCTGCAGAAAATGCATTTCTGTAGAAGCAAAACAAAACAGAATATTTAACATGCTATTACAACTCCATTGACTTCTGTATCTATTTCAGAGGCTATAAAGTTACTTTTATTTCATACTTACACTATGTATCTTACAATCTGCATGGGAAAAGAAGAAGCATTTACAAAATAAAAGATAATTTTGTAATAATAATTTATAGCTAGCATTTTTGCCTTGTTATGGAAATGTAAAGACTGTTCTGTTGCTACAATAAGAAAATTGATATCTATATGATTATTTTGAACTTTAATTTCAAATTCCATATACTGCATTGAGAATTAACCTGGGCCTCCTAAAATGGAACCCTAACAATCCAACTCCTTACAACCCATACATAATTCTGCAAAAAACAGCAGCAGAACTAAAAAATAAAGAAAAACAAAGAACCAAAGGGCCAGACAGGACTTCCAGACACCATTTAATCTCAGTCTCTACTTGAGGCTGGACYAGATGTGTACCAGACTGGATTTGGCAGATGGCTGTCTAAACTTCCCTCAGTGCTCCATGAAAAAGTTTCCACAACATCCTCAGCTGTCCCATTACCTGAAGTCAGAATTTTTTTCTTACTATCAAGTCTTCAATTAGACAACTGAAGGCTGTTTCCTTTTCATTTTTTCCACTCTTTTCTTCAGTGGTGGTGTATTTATGTAACAGTGATTGTGTATGCTATATTCTACCACTTTGTTCACGGAAATATCRTATCAAAAGCGTTACTGATGTCAAGCCACACCACATATATTCCTCCTTCCAAAGTAGAGAACACATCAAAATACTGTTGCTATACTGTGTTTTCATTATTAGGTTTCTTTACTGCCTTTATCACACGGCTTTCATAAGGAGATGACCCATTTGAAACAACCGAGCATTGAAGTCATGTTAGGTAAGTGCCTGAAACAGGCTCTAACAGGCTATAAAAATCAAAGTGCAAGAAGGCCAATATGGTGCCACCAGAAGAAATCAACATGCCAGACTGGACAATTACTTTAGTATTTGTGTTGTCAATTGGATTATATCACATGTGGGAATTATTTTCTACCTATCCTCATCACGACTAAAACAAAACTATGCATGTCGCCAATAATCATTTGGCTTAATGATGTGACAGGAATGAATTCCACAATCCGAAATCAAACTGCTGCATTAGGTATTTCTTCCATTTGTTCTAAATTTGCTAGTCACTAATTCTGTTTAACATCCTCTTGTCTGCCTACTCTATGAACAGGAGTAAAAATAACTTCCATATATTTTCACTCTATAATTAGTAATTCAAAGTATTTCAAATTAACACAAATTCCTTTTTCCGTAATACCAGAGTATTTATGTTATCGTTAAATTCTGAGAAGCTAGTTTCATTCACATTATAAAGGAAATCTGCAGAAATTGCCCTATAGCACTTAGTTTCAGGGCCTTCTGATGTTGAGTTTATAACCAAAATAATGCTTTTGCAAGGGCAACTGTCATCAAGGKCATCGGAAACATAAAGTCCTGGTCAAAATCTGCGTCCATATTCAACCTGTGAAAGCCTAAGGACTTTGCACAAGGAGAAACAAGAGGATCATTTGGATCTGAGTTGAGCATCTTGCCATCACTCACTAATGGGACAAGAATCCTGTCCAGACTCCTGTAGCTGCCCTTGGTCTGTCAGGTTAGTAGCAGGCAAAAATGATTCCAGTATCAAAAGGAAAAATTGGGACTTCACTGATTGAGACTTCATATTAGGCTTATGCTCATATGCATGAAACCATTTTCAGACTGGTCAAGCAATTGTTTCCTGAGAAAGCCTAAGGGTTGTTAAACATGCAACCACATATCTAGGTTTATAAAGATGCAGAGCCAAAAAATTCAAAGTAAACCAGCAATTCTAGGAGAACAGAGATGAAATACCCCATATATAAGGCCCAGGGACTGGATGCAGATCAATATATGCTTATCATCTTAAAGGTGATAGTGCGCTCTTTAATTATGGGCTGCAGTCATTCTAGCAAGCACCCACTGGAAGCGATGAAGTAGGGTAGGTGAACCTCAGCTTTCTGATGAGACCTGAACCTAGGTTTCAATGGGTGCACTTTGCATTTTGAAAAAGGCACATAAGCACACAAAAAAACATGGGTATAAGCAATCTCCCAGTTTGCATGACCATGCCAAGCAGCATGTGCCCATTCAGGGATACAAGTAAAAGCTCAATCTTCACAAATGAAAGTCAAGGTTATCCCATATTTCATTAACAGAAAAAGCCTAACAGAGAAAACTATAAATATCTATTTTGCATAGACTTGTGAAAACTAAGCTGAGCTGTACAGTAAACTGGGAGATATTAGCTGTTAGTACTAAACTGCACAGTGCTATTTCTGACATATGATGGTAATTATTTCCCTACTAAGCTTCTTGCTGGTAATGTATTTCTTGTAGTCACAAATGGGCTTTAATATATGCTCAAGTTGTGGGTTCTTTTTTGTCATTTTTTTTTAAACTTTTCTCTACCTTGTTAATATTATTTTGCAGGTCTGTACACATGGTATGCAAGAGCTGTGATTCCATATTTCCAAAATCTTCCTGTACCAAAATGGTACACAAAAAGCACAACTTAAACTATTTTGAAGAATTATATCAGAGAAAAATAACCAAAATGAGCAAAGGAAAAAGGATGCAAAGACTGAGGTTTCACTTTCTCTCCCCCCCTGAAATTTTCAAGTTTGTAAAATGAAAGAGGATGAAAATGAAAATGGAACTGATCTTGAACTGACCTTGCAAAGCACAGAATCTAAACATTTCTCTGTCAGGGCTGACTTCATGTTTAGGCATAAATGTGCTACTTGAGAAATTAACCAGCTGGACACATACATTTACTGAAACACACTCAAGTTAATTTAATATCCAATGATAGCTCTTCAGCACCCTAAAACTAAAGCTGCTCCTAGCAGGTAAAGCAAATTCGAAATCCTAGATAGCTACAAAGAATCTCATTATGATTTAATAMTTGTTAGATATTAGTGTAAAGCAAAGACAATGGGGGAAGTGGCTCAGAAGAAATCTTAATCAGAGATTCTGATGCAAAATGAATTGAGAAATAAATAAAATTGTTTATATAACAGGAGATTAAGAATATAGGACAGAACCATGCATTGCAATTTTCTAGATGGTGAAATGACCTCCCTTTGCCCCCAAAATGAAAAATACTCTGCTGCAAATGGATTTCATAATCATGAAATAGCTCTTTAATATTAATAGATTGCAAATATACAAACAAAGTGGATTTTAAAGAATGACTCCGGGAAAAGGAAACTGGATGCCAACATTTGCAGAAGCCCACTGATAGCTTTCATAATGATTTTTATGCAACCTTATATAAACAATTCGATATTGCTCTCCTCAAAGAGAGTAATACTTACAAAACAAAATTCTAGTTGCTAACAGGATCATAATCTAAACACAGTAAGAGTACTTTCTGAGGCAAAGATTTACAAAAATAAATGAAAACTGATGGTTGTGGCAGAAAGTTGGGACTGAACTTCGAGAAACAATCTGGATTATTGATTTCTCTCAAAAGTATTTCTATAATTTACCAATAAGAACATATCTGGGAAGAAGCTCACTCTAGAAAACATTAAATCAAAAAATATATGTCTCCTTTTTTTCTCTAAAAATTATTAAAATCAAATTTAGGAAAGTCATTAAATGTAACTTGTAAGATCTCTTCTTACAGATGATTATTAACCACCAGCTAGTAACTCAACTGCATATTCTTATCCTCTTGCATATATTTGGCAAGAGGATATTCTGGCATATTCTGGACTTGTAGGCTTTCTCACAAACAACTAAGACAGGACACCTTTTAGGAAATTAATGAAAAATAAAGATTAATTTCTTCTTTCCCTATCATCTGATCCTATAGCACCTCTGCGTCTCGTAAYTCATTTGATTTACTCCATAACTTACATTAAGAGACACGTAATATGGCTGTCATGCAGGATCACACTCYAGATACCAAACGTTGGTCATTTTGTAACCAGGAGTAAAATATCCACAGACTTTTAGCAAGCAAAGATTTCACAGAGGATATTACAAGCAGGAGCTTCACCATCTTCTCAGCTGTTATACCTTGAGAGAGACAGTGTTAAGATGCTCAGTGGTCCTAATCCTTTCTCTCTCCAACCCAAAGGCATAACATGGATTAGAAATGAGAAAAGATTGGTTTTGGTCAACTAAAAGTATTGGTTACAAGGTACCAAGGTGGCAAGGTAGATTTCTCCAACAATGCATAACACTCTCTGGAGTTATATACTATGAACTATATCCTATACTCCATATACTACGACGACATTTGACACATTATCTACAGATCAGACACATTGTCTGCACAACCACCACGAAGTCAGCATTTAATACTGCCAGAGAGTAGAGTGTGTTTCTGCAGAAGCAAACTCCGATCCTGGTAATTAAAAAGAAAAGCTGGATCATTAGAGCTATGAAATTGATGGAACTTAGGATTAAAAAATGTAAAGAATTTTTTTAGATCGTATGTGCAACAATTCAAGAAAGATGTTACCTAAAGACCATTTTGTGGTATTAAAATAGAGAGATCATCTGAGCAATGACACAAAACAAAACCATGATGGAAGAAAATGACTTCTTACAACTTTCTTTTACTCCGTAAAGTCTGCCTATAGCAAATGAAAGACAGCACAATTTATCCAGTAGTAGCTTAACCATGCATTCTAGCAGAGAAGTAAACATAACACTTATCCATCAGTAGGAACCAAAAGAATTATTTTATTTTCTTATAATTTTGAATTAATGTGTTTTGTCACTCTGCGTGAACATAAAAGATAATTATGACTTGAAACTCAGGACTTTTAAACAACATTGTTTAACTTGGCAATATCAAGAAGACTTGAAATTGCTCCAAATATACATAGATGTTTAATATACAGTTTTTAGAGTTTATAAAAGGTTAGCAAGACTAACCAGTACTATCACA